TGCGGACACGCTCGGCAGCCGCGGAGGGGCCGTCCCGGGGCTGGAAGCGCGGCCCCCCCTTCCCTAAGGATGCTCCCAGGGCCAGGCTGTACCACCCACGTGGATCCATTGATCCCAGCCAAGCGAGACAGGAGAGGCAGCGTCAGCAGAGACGGTTCCTGACCGACTCTTTAAAGCAAAGGTAACACAGCATGAGGGATTTCGGGCTCCCCCCAGCCCTGTCCCGTGCTCCTGCCCTCCCAAAACGGGGCTGCCCCATCGCAGCACGTCCCCCTCCCTCAGCACAGGTGCCATCTCCCGGGTACCGCAGCGCTACATGCAGTGCTGCAGCAGCACCACAGTAAGCAAGCTGGGGACTTTTTCCCCCTTTCTACCCGTTATTCTTGCCAAATCCTCTCCTTGTGCTACATCTCCAGAGCAGTACAAATACGAGGCACTTTGGAAATCCGAGATTAGACAGTCAGTTGCAAATAAATCTAAATAAAATTAACAACAGGACTCTACAAATGAGCTTATGTTCAAATTTAGTATGCACAACAACAGGAAATACAGGCAAACCACAGTGCTTTCGTCTCTAAGCGATTCTCTGATCAAACCACAGGTAACTTGCAGTTGAACTTGCAGTCGCCACAAAGCAGGACAACAATGCTCTCACAGTCTCACACCTGTTAATACAATTTCTGTGCATGTTTTTGTCACTTTTGGTTACCGAATTACTTCTCATGCATCCAGCTGTGCTGTTGACTCAAGATCAACAAGTCTGACATCTTCAAACTTTAAAAACTAGCTCCGAGGAGCCTTCCTTGACATGTTTATCAGAGTTCCTCTGTGATCCAAGGGCACCCGCCAAAGACCAGCAGTGTTTGTTGGATCTTTTCCCTCACCGGTGGATAAAAACGCTTCAGAGCTTTTCCTAAGTTACAGTAGATCAGTGCTCTGAACCCTGACTGCGGGAAGATCATCATCATGCATCTTTTACATCACCTGTTATTCCCAAGATGTGTCAAGTACAGTCTGTTGGGGCTTTAGTCATGCAGAATTGTAACTTCTCATCCACGAGTCATAAAATCTGAATCTCTAACAAAACTTGATGGCAGTTTTGGAGGTCCTAAAATGTTTTTCTACTCTGGCCTTACCATAGGATAATTTAATTGATAAAATTAAAAATAAAGTCTCTGTTTCACTGCAACGATTGCCAAAGATGAGGTTAGTGCAAGACAACTCAGTCTCTGTAAGAAGCGAGTACACCAAAAAAAGCCGCTGTTCCTCCCATTGAACATTTACTGGTAAGTATCAAAACCTGGAGTTTAGGGATCTGTAGTGGTGGTTCTTTTCCACTCCTCGCTTAACGGACACTTGCCCTCCTGCCGAATACCTCGCTCAGTGTGTTGCTGTCCTGCTGGCGCTGGCTGCTGAGGGCTGGTGACCCGGGACAGCGGGGCCGGGGCCGCTTGGAGGAGCCCCGAGTCTGCAGGTGGGTGGCACCGCTAGTGCTCACACTGCACCACAACAGCCCCCCCTTCATCTTTTCCATTGTATGGAGGCCTGAAGGAGGGATAAATGGGAAGGAAAATATTTCATCAGCAACCTGCTGGCAGAAAAGCTGGGAGCGGAGAGCAGGACAAAGAAGGAGCAGTGACCAGAGAGAGGTCCCAGTGTGCGATGTTGTTCTTTAGGGACATGCAAGGAAGGAGCTGATACATTTGAAACCTGAACTGAACTGCTTGTCTGAGCACCCGGCAGCCAGAACAATACAACACACAGCGGACGCTGCCCTTGCCACGCGATGCCTTGGCAGGGAAAAGCAGTGCCCAAACGCATCTCAGTTTTGCAGAGAGGGTCTCCTGGCTTGGCAGGGACACTGTGTGTGCCTGTGCCATGTGCCAGGAACAGCAAAAGCTCAGCATTGCTAGCCTTACAGGAAGCTGGAACAATAAAAGCCTCCCAAAACGTGCTTTCTGGAGAGCAGAGCCGCAGCTGAACCCCGGCGCTCGGCCAGGCAGGCGGGGGGCCGGGAGAGCCGAGCGCTCCTCACATTACAGAGCTTCCTGCTGTCATCCTAGACCCTGGTTATCCAGTGACACAGGGATGCACTGAGACGCCGGGCAAGAGGCTCCACTGCCCACCTTCCCCGCCCGGACGCTGGAGCGGCAGCGAGGGGCAGGCTCTGAGCCCCGCCACAGCCGCTGGGCAGGCCAGCATGCCAGCCCAGCAGAAGAGAATTCTCTTCTGCACAGCCGGGGTGCTGAGCTTCGCCTGCGCGCTGGGGGCGGCGGCGGCCGTCGGTGCGCAGCGCTGGGTGCGCGGGACGGTGCTGTGCCGCACCGGGGCCCTGCTCGTCAACGCCAGCGGGCAGGAGCTGCACAAGTTCATCGGCCAGATCCACTACGGGCTTTTCCACGGCGAGCGCCTGAGGCAGTGCGGGCTCGGGGGGAGACCCGTCCGGTTTTCGTGTGAGTACCGACCGCGTTTGGATCCTTTAGCGCCGCGGGAGCCGGGAGGGGCTGCCCGGGGATCCTGCGCTCGCAGCCGCTGCCCGCCAGGCGGGACACGCTCTGAAACAAGGGCTGCTGTCACTGGTGTGATCTTTGGGTCCACAGGACTTCTTTTCTGACACCAGCAAAGCCACACTAACATTTCTCAACAATCTATACTTAAATTGCACAAACGACTGCATTTCAAAATATTGCTGTTTTACTTTAAAAAAAATACGCGTTTGTTTTTCAATGAATCACTGGCATCTTCCTCTGTGTGTCAGTATTATGGCCTCTGTTCCACTGTGAAAGAATGAGGTAAAGCAGCAGCAATCTCATGAAAGAGCTGGGGCACGGATACACTTGGCTGCTGTTGAGAACCAAAGCAGCCAAAAAGTTATCAATCTGCTGCATTAACTGGAAAAGGCTCTGGTTGCTGCTGATGCTCAGCCCAGTGACCTGCAGCTCTGACATCCGGAGCTCTGATGGTGGCTGACACACAGAAGACAGCTAGCAATGGTTTTGCTGTGCATGTAATATTCATAACCTACTTATCTTCAAGGAGAAGATCAATAAAACGATCAAGTGAGCACACAGTTTGTATGTAGCAGCACATTAAACGAATCAACAGCCGTTTTGCAATTTGGCACCCACTGTTTTTACAAAACACTGCTAAAGCAACATTCATAAATTGCTTATGTGAGTCTTTTCAGGCAAGGTTACCAGATTAGGTACCAGAAACTATTCACTACATAATATTTTTTCCAAAGTAACAGACCAAATCAATTTAATATTAAGATTTGCTGAGTCTAATTCAATCCCATCTCTAGTCCATTTGTACAGCTCAAGTTCTCCTGGATTCCCCTGTGCAGATGTCCCACCCTGCTGCTTACAGGCTGGGCTGACTTTGCAGAGGGGTCTGCTAAACCCCAGGGAATCACTTTCCTGCAAACCCTGCAGACAAGCCCCTCCTCAGCCCCAGCTCCATGACTGACACTTGTCCAGGCCCCCCAGGCTGGGGCTCAGCTCTGCTACTGCCCACGGGCCATGAGCTGCAGTGGGGCTGGAGCTTTTCCACAGGCCCATCTGGGTGCACCCTGATCCCAAACACCCCCAGGGCTTGCACCAGAACCCCCAGGGGGGTCCCCGTGCAGGAGCACCAGGTTGCCCAGAGCACACAGCAGGGACCAAGCACCCCCCACTTTTCCATACCAGCTCCACGCACGAGACAGGACCAGACCCAGCCACAGGTGAGGCAGCCTGTTGGCTTCTCTTTCTAATCATTTCCTTTCCACATATTTGGTAGTTAGCTCCTTTTAAATCGTTTCATGACGTGCCATGCATGCAGGCTCTCACCTGTGCATTTCATCTGATTACAGCTGAAATACTTTAATAACCTGCTAGTGCAACTGCAGCAATATTATCAAAAGAGTTGTAATTTTGTGGGAGGTGTGAATTAATATTACAAATGCAATACAAATGAATACAAATGTGCAGCTTGTTTGTGATGATTTAACAATATCAATGTATTTTTTAATATCTCACAATGCTATGCACTGGCAGCTCTGGATCCATGTCAGTACTGCAGAGCACTGTCACCCAGAAGCACTCCAGGGTTCTGCAGTTTGCTCTCACTAGGGCCATGCATTTTTTTATCCATGTTCTCAGGAATCTCATGCAAACAGGCTTTCCTGTCCAAATGTTTGCCAAACTTGCATTCGTGTTATTCCAATAGAACTCAGAACCACAAACAGAAATACCAACATGTGAAGATTTTAGTTAGTCCCAGCTAAGCAACCCACTTTGGAATGGCCAAAGCCTGACTGCTGATGCAGAGCTGCAGGATCCTGCTGCACAGCACAGGATTAACAAGTCATTTATCTGAGTGCCTACTGTACACGTGCCAGTAACTCCAGGGATCTGAAATCAAGGCTAGAGTTAATCTTATGCCTGAAAATCCTCAAGTCAGAAGTGATGCTGATGCCCTGCCCATGACCACACAGCACCCCGTCCTGGGGAGAGCAGCCCCCCCACCGCAGGGGTGCAGCCCTGCTTCCAGTGTCCAAGCCTATGGGGCACCAGTCCCAGCATCACACCACCTGCAACAGCAGAGCTGGGAGAGAAAGCCCTGAGGGGAGAAACACAACCCCAGAGCCTGACGCACTTGAAATTGAACCCATGCCTGCCTGCTAGAGCTTTCTTTTTACTTCTACTTTTTTTGTGTACAAGCATTAACAGCAAAATATTGCCATAGTTCGACTCACAATATTGCAAGCCCACTGTAGCTCTCATTTACCTGCCCTGGCATCCTTGGTCTAGCACTCTGAAGAGATAACACTATGAGGGGATCTTTGGCACTGGCTATCCCTGAAACACACCCAGTTCCAGCCTAAATCACTTCCCACCCCAGCTGCATGGACCCTGGCAGTCCAGGCTTTGCCTCCCTGAGCTTCACTGACAGCGGGTGGTGGAAGCACTGATTCCTCCTTACAAATCGTTCTGAGATCATCTCTTATTAAAAGGCAAATATAACACTTACTTGAATAGGATTTGTATTTAGAAACAACGGCTGGACAGCTTAGCAAAGTGTGCCTCTGCTAGAAGTGTTCCCTTCAGAGACCAGTTAATGAAGGAGGCTGGACCACATTCCCTGGGCTGCCCAGACCCATCCCACGGGAGTTGGGGCTCAAAGGGCCTCAGTGGGAGCATTCAGGAAAACGGGGTAGCTGTGTGCAATAGACACATCCATAGCTCAACGCACTCCAAGTGCAGCTCAGCGTGCCTGAGGAGAACAGGCACGGAAAATAGGCTAACTGATTTAGTTCTAGGTTTGTTCCCATTAAATGCTCCCCTCTGACCACTATATCTCTTTTAATTGTAAAATGAATTTGCTCTGCCAGAAACCCAGTTGGGCCGGGAAGAGCCTTCTGCTTCATTTGCTCTTGCTGATTCTCATCAGTTTCTGGGTCAGCAGCTCATTTTCTAAAGGTCGCTGCCATGCATACCTAACGCCCCATTTCATCCAGCACAATGAAGGAACGGTTTTCTTTCAAGACAACGCAGCTGCCGGAATTCATTTTCCTGATATGCCACACATAAAATGTTAATTATATAAACAGCTACAAAGGCAGGTACCAAGGGAAAGACCCAATACGATGCTGTGGCAGCATTTTCCTAAAATAGACAATAGAATATTATTAAATGCACGGATTTGTCCGTCCTGCCAAGGGAGGAGGTAGCGTGGCAGGAACTAGTGCTGCTCCTGGAGCTCTGCCCGGGTGTAACTCCTGGGCCCTCCTGCTGCACCCCCCAAATGGTGCAGCCGCAAAAATCCACCGCTCCGACAGCGCGGCTGCTTCTCCTGCTTGTAAACACGTTCAATACGCAATATGAAGTCTGACCGGCA